TCCAAAGGAAACAGCCGGTGTGGAGCGAGTGGTGCAGCAGAGAGAGCAACTTTGGGGGGAAAAAAGCAGTATCCCGTGCTTTCTGTCAGTGAAAGAAGGGGCTAAGTCCTTGGAAAGAGGAGTGCTAGAAAGTATCCAAACTGAGCAAATTTCTCCATTTTTAAATTATTATTTATTATTAATAAGCAAAACTTCTTGAGCTGGAGCACAGCGCGTGGTCCTGGGGCTGATCCGTGGTGAAAGCTGGGAAATGCATAGACACTGTGGGGAGAGGCTGCAGTAAATGGGTGCTTGCAGGAGAAAACATCCTCAAGGGGAATTTCTAGTGATTGGAAGTGTTGGTTTTCCTCTGCTTCATGCAGTTGACATTAAATAAGGCTTCAGAAATAGTTTGGGAGATTCTTGCCATATTCTGAAATGTGCTATTTGAAGGAAACTAACTGCTGTGCGCCTTTCTCTCCCCTAGGGGCAACTGGACCTTCTCAGGAGCAATGCAGGTCTCCTGTACAGGATCAAAGAGTCTCAAAACGCCAGGTAGCCTCGTGCTTCTCAGGTGACTGTCTGGAGCGGAGACGCTCCCGCCGCCTTTGGGCTGCAGGCAGCTGCAGGAGGTGGCCCCTTGTGCCAGGAAGGAACCCTTAAGTGCCCTGGGCTAATCCTGAAAGCTGTGTTAGGTGTCACGCTGTCTGCTGAGCAGAGGTTGTTACGGAGCTAGAGCTCTATTTGCTAGAGGAGCTCCTCATGTGGCAGTGTGACCTCTGCGAACATCTGTGTGCTCAGATGAGGTCCAGCTGAAGCACAGTTTGCAAGCTGTGGTTATGCTAGGATGTGGCTCCCAATTTTCCATTTTTATGACAAAAAACAACTGAAGAGATTCTTGCTAATTAATCCCTTTCCTTTCATGGTATGTGCTTTTCATAGTGCTTTTTTTTCTACCATGGGTTTTCACTGTCCAGCTTGCCTTGATCCAGACAATTTCGCACTTACCTGTTGTAATTGCCAGTAGGTGGCTCATTGTGTAGGTCTTTATTTATTTTCATTTGTGCATTGTATTTTTTTCCACAGTATTTGTTTTCAATTTAAAGCAAATCCAGATTCTTTCAGTCTTTGTGTACTTTTCAAAAACCCTCACGTCTGTCCTATTTTTTTACAGTAAAATGAAAGGCTCTGACAATCAAGAGAAGCTGGTTTACCAAATAATAGAAGATGCAGGCAACAAAGGTAGTTTATTTAGACTGTATTTGTGATTGTCACCAACTCTGTTTCTTTATGGAATCATTTCTGTCATAACAGCCCAAGCAATACAAATATAAAGACTAGAATTTCCTCAGCAGGGCTGAGTGTTTCTCCACAGAACAACAACCTGTCAACAACAACTTTTTCAGAATATTTGGAACAGGAATTATGAGGTTTACACATGGGACTGTCACCTGAAGACTCTGCAAAATACTCTGATTTCATAGGTCTCCTGCTAGCAGAAACCTCTAGTAACTAGGCTATTACAGCTGTCATTTGCAGACTGTGCTTGAGAGAGGGCAGATAGAGCTAATTGTAAAGTTTCTCTTGAAGCAAAAACTTGTTATGTGAAAGTGCAAGAACTTTTTCTGTGGTGTATTTCTGTTAGAAGGGAAATGAGGTCCCCTACAGAGGAGGGGTAAAGGACGGTTCCTTTTTTTTTTTTTTTTGGCTTGCAAAATAAATTACTGAAATGAACAGTTTCTGCTTCTATTCATTTCCATTCACTTCTCTGTTCCTAAACAGGTATTTGGAGCAGGGACATTAGATACAAAAGTAATCTACCTTTAACGGAGATAAACAAGATACTGAAAAACCTGGAAAGTAAAAAACTAATTAAAGCAGTTAAATCTGTTGCGGTGAGTGTTTTTTTTGTTTGTTTGTTTGTTTTTTGTTTTTAAACCACTTGAAATGTTTTTTTCGTGCTGCATGTTTGGGTAGGGTACTGGGGGCAGAGAAACTTGGGTTCTGCATCTGCCTTTGTGCCCCGAGGTTTGACTCTCGCCTTTGCAATGCAGGCTTAAGTTGCAACAGACAAGAAACTGTAATGTTTATTAAATAATCAACATGCTGCTAATAAACTGATTAACTGAGTAATGAATTGATTTAATTAAATCAACATGTCACTATTTATATATAGTTCTGTCACTCTTCACACTGTTGGTCATTACACACCCTTTATCAAATTGTAGTTCTAGAATTCTTCATTACACTATTATTACATTATTCACTAGCCTCTCACATCACTTAATAATAAGTTGCAATTCCATCACCCTTTAATCTCCTCTCCCACACCCAGTCTTTAGGACTCAGATCTAGTTTCAAGGGTTGCCTAAAGGGTTTCCCCCTGCCATCTCCAGGGACTTGGGTTTGCAGGGCAGCCTCTACACATCTGTGCACGTTCGTGCTCCTCTTATTGGCACATCCCACCCTCTGTTGTTACTTGACTGAATTTTACACCTTTATTCTCCTTTTCTTTTTTGTTTCTGGAACTTCCTTTTCACCAACCCTGTAGCTTTCTCACCCAGGCTAGGACAGATAAATTTTCTCTTCTACAGCTCTTTTTCTTAAATGTTTCTCTCTTATAGCCCCTTTTTCCCCCAACTATATGTGCAGTTTTCTTTTGCAGGCATCTAAGAAGAAGGTGTATATGCTATATAACCTGCAGCCTGATCGGTCAGTGACTGGTGGGGCTTGGTACAGTGACCAAGACTTTGAATCTGAATTTGTTGAAGTGTTAAATCAACAGTGCTTTAAATTTTTACAGAGTAAGGTAAGAATCTCTATTAAATTCATCTTCCATTTGTTTTGCCCAAATAATAACTTTCCTTTTAAAATTCTTGCCAGAAAAGATTTTCCAGGGTGTTTTCTGTAAGTGGTGACTGTTGTTATAACTGGATCAGCAAATCTCTACTGCATTTTTACTTGCTTGACACAGTAAGTGGGGATGATGTTGCATTTTAATAAATATACATATTTAGCACCCTGTACAAGGCATGAAGCATTTCAATGCCAAGGCTCAAAGATAAGTTAGGGAGTGACAAACACAGGACCAAAAACTAACTAGCAAAAGCCATTATGTTCCCCTCATAGCTCCACATATATGAGAAGGTAGATGGTCCTAACCAGTCAGCTCACTCAAGGCAATTCTTGCTAGGCCTAGCTGCCAGCAGGAAGGCAGAAGTCTGTTCCCCATGAGCTGAGTCCTCATCAAGCTGCATAATTTCTCTGTTCAATTAAAATGCATTTTACTTGGCAATAGGTACAGCAGAGATTACTTTAAAAAATGAAAAAAAGGAAGAAAACTCAAAATAATGGTATTCCTTCACATGAGTCTAAATTATTGCACCATATTTGGTGCATAATCTTCTTTGGCTATGCCTTGCATTATCTCACGGACATCAGTCCTTAAGGAGATAGTTTTAAATGTTAAATAAAAACATGTCCCTGCAATAGCTTGGAATTCAGCTTTGATACTTCAGTCAGCCTGAAACTGGACCATGTGTACGTAGGAAGAGGCTCTTGGTGAGTACTGACCTTATTCTGGCCTTTTTGCAGGCAGAAGCAGCTCGAGAAAGCAAACAGAACCCCATGATCCAGAGGAACAGCTCATTTGCCTCTTCCCACGAGGTGTGGAAATACATCTGTGAACTGGGTATCAGCAAGGTCAGAATAGATTCATCCTGCTACTCTCAAAATCACGAGTGCATGACTGACTACAGGAGCTGGGTCCTTCAAATACTAATTTACTAAGAACTGTAAAGTATAAATATTGTGACGTATAATGTAAATACTGTCAGTGTAGGGGAGATTGGGTTTGCTGCTTTATTGCTTTTTGAGGGGAGTGTGTAGTATTGTATGGGGTTCCAGGATACATTTATACATGGGTTGTCAAAAGTTTTTTCTTTTTTTAAGAGAATTGGCATCTACAGCCTTGCTGATGAGAGCTGGAACTAGTTTCACTTTAATAATCTTGAGTAGAATTATACCTCATAATTTCTCTCAAGTTTGCCTATTTACTTCCAGCAGTTTTAGAAAAGCAAAATGTCTGTTATTGGTCACCGTCAAACTGATACATCTTCAGTGATCTCTCTTTTCTTCTTCTGCCATGTTTTTTCCCCTTAAAATGCATCATGTTAGGATATTGCAAACGCATGAGGAGCACCAGGAAGATTTGATGGGAAAACAGGACTAGTGTTATCCAAAAGGCATTTGTTTTTTTCCTCTGTTCTGCACAGACCCATAAAGTACCCAAGGGAAACTGTACCTGTGAATCTGGGATTTGTAGTGCTTGCTTTTGGTTCTTCCTTGCAGTTCACTGACTTTTTTTTTTTTCTTCTGTATTTGTCTTTCAAATTGATTCTTAGGTAGAATTGTCAATGGAGGACATTGAAACCATTTTAAATACACTAATATATGATGGAAAAGTGGAAATGACGATTATTGCTGCAAAGGAAGGCACAGTAGGTAGTGTGGATGGACAGATGAAGTTGTACAGAGCTGTCAGTCCTCTCATACAACCCCCTGGATTAGTCAGGACACCCTGTGGACTCTGCCCTGTAAGTTGCTAGCTTTGTGTATGAAACTGCTGCTATCCTAAATAGAAAATGTCAAGAGCACTTTGCTTCCAGATGAACTGGGCTTGCTGCAAAGAATTACACTACTGACCAGGACTTTCTTTTTCTTAGGTTTTTGATGATTGCCATGAAGGTGGTGAGATTTCTCCATCAAACTGTATTTATATGACAGAGTGGCTGGAGTTTTAAAGTGGAACAAAAAAGAACTGTAAACTGGATCAATTTCTTATTGTCAAGATGGCAAAGCAGCTTGGTTTTTTATCAGTGGACTTTTCAATTTGTGAGTGACTTCAGGACATGGGGTTACTTTGTTTTTTAGTATATGTAAAGCAGCAATACATCAATTGTGTGAGCAATCTTGACAGTGGACTGGAAAACAAGTCAGCACTGAAGACCAGAGCTTAAGTGGAAATATTGATCCGCTCTTGCACAAACATGCTGGCTTGTTGACCTAAAAAGTGCCACAGAAGAGCAGGGTTGTGTTGGATCACTTCCAAGGATTGTGTTTGTGCTCTGCAAACAGTTATTCTGAATGAGAAGAAGTAAGCTCCTGCCAGGAGTAGAGCCTGAAAGCAAAGTTTGGCATCTCATTCTTGTCAACTCTTGTTTGCCCCTTTTGCCAGTCAGCTGATGACTTAAGTCTTAAAATTGACATTTTCTTTGTGCAACCATCTACTTGGAAACAAAAAAAGCCTGATGTGATAAAGATCCTAAATACATCAAATAACACTAATTCTTTACTATCTTTCTTAACTGCTAATTTATCCTGAAAACACCCTTTTATTATTCTCATGTACATCTCCTTCATATTGAATGTTGCTGTTGCTGAGTCTGTTAACGATTCCTTCATCTGAGGATCATGACGTGATGGATGTGCTCTGGCAACCTCACTGTATGAGAAGATATGTCAGCTGCAATTCTAACTAGAAGTATTTTGGAAAGGTGCATATTCAAAATAGAAGAGCACTTGCTGTGGCCTGGTACTACAGGTACAAGGCAAATGTTCTCAGCATTGTAGAAGTTGCCAGTGACAGTTACTCATATGTAAGTATGGTCTGTGGTACGTGCTGCTGTATCACCAAAAGGGCTATCTTTTTTTCCTGTGCTATAGAACCCATTCTTACTTTTAAACACAACACGACAGAGCTTTTTTTAGCTTACTAGAACTGTGGACATCCATCTGGGTGGTGTCAAGGTGTTCCTTTGAAATATAAAGTCAAATCCTACTTGGGAAGTTTTTGTTTTGTTTTGTTTTCCCTGTGTTACGCTACTCCAAATCTTCCTTAACCTACAATCAAGGAGATGCTTGGAAAAAGCCAGCTCCTTTCTCATATATGGAAATACTGTGCATATAGGGCATGGTCAGCTTTCCACCATCCAGAAGAGGAGGGCTGGGGTGAGGTATTAGCAGCTGGAACAGTGCAGATGTGTGAACTTTGCAGAGCCAACTTCATTCCAGGATAGCTGTGGCTCAGCTCAAGCTTGCTGAATCCACGTTGACTCTGTGTGCAGCTACTCCTGTGTTCGTAATGCCCTCACAGTGCTGGGAAATGTTCACTGGATCAAGCACATTGCACCTTTTGTACCTTGCTATTTGCAAAATTCCCTGTCTGGAAGCAAGCTTTCCTGGACACGAGCCAGCTCCTGTGCTAGAAGGGGCAATGGTCAAACACCTCTGCAACTGAGTTAACAGCCAGCGTGCTGGGCAGTCTCGCTGTGAATAGTAAACAGTTGGCTAGCAGATTTTGGAAGACACTTTACCTAGTTGGGTTGGAAGAGTTGGTATCAGTTATTTCAATATTGGCCAGGAATGAGATTTACCTCCTTGTTTGGCAGCAGCTAAGCGGGTTGTCTCAGGAGCAGACAACTAGGATCGTTTAATCTGGCATGTCCCTGGAGTGGGTGCGATAACATGGCATTAGCTGTGGTGGCTAACCCCAGAGCCTGCCCTTTCTCTGGTTGCAGAGCTGCCTTTTGAGTGCTGAGGGTGCACATGTCTATCCAGAGAGGCAGAAGAGTCATAAGGGAAGGTGAGGGCACAACTGAGATGTTTGTTTCTCTGTCCATGGTGTGCTGAAGCACAAGGAAAGCCTTCAGGTGTCCATTGTGTTGCCAATGACAACTTTAATTGAAGTGTGCGGCGTCTTTGTCTCCCTGTTTTCAGAGGGATCCCAAGTCCTGAAGGAATAACCTGAAGGAATATGCTCCACTTCACCTAGAAGATGACTTCCAGGGAAACAACACATCCTGAATAGCCAGGAGTGTCACCTTATGCGGTGTGACTATACTTGCTTGCAGTAAGAAAAAGAGATTGATGGTGGCCAGTGAACAGGCTTAGGAAGTGGATAGCTGGTTTCCTCAGCTCTTTGAATCATGCCTGGTTTGTACTGGGTTTATTTGGTAACTTACCCAGCATGATCCGAGCTCTGTAGTCCCGGCAGCTTCCTGGCAGCGCAGTTGTAGCATGACCTCTCAAGTCTGGGGAGAAGAACGTGGCTATGGAGAAAAGTAAAGCAATTTCACTTCCCTCTCCATGAAAATGAAACATATTTAAAAAATAACCATATATTGACAATGCATATCAATACGTTAAGCTATTTGTAAGCTATCATTCCGATCTATTTTTTCTATGAAGTTGATTAACCTATTAGTCTCTGTAATTCTTTGTAAAAAAAGAGAGGATTGAATGCTAAAGGGTAGTATCAATTCTTTATTCTCCTTTCCTCCTTGACTTCCTTCGGCGTTTTTTTTTTCTCTTTGACAAAGCTGTTTCCTTTACAAATGAACTGGGAAGCACCGTCTGCTCCCTTCTTTATGCAAGCGCCAGCCAAGATGTCACAGTTCAGCAGTTACAGGAGCAGCAGAGACACTGCAGGTAGTTGCACCCCCAAATGTTATTTTCACATGAAATCAAGTGCAAGATTGTTTTAGTGTGGGAGAGGAACATTAACGACCGGCGCCGGCCGCATGGTGAACTGAAACAGAGCCCAGCCAGCAGATCCTGCTTAACACCACTACCCTTTGCAGTCCAAAGTTTAAAACATTAACATTAATGACAAACTTTAAGCTTTGATAGTTGAAATATTTACCCTGTGGTTCACTGTTTGTTTTCTTCCCCTGCTTTTGGTTTTTATCCTTAGTTTTCTAACTCAACCCCTGCGGTGGGAGGGTTGTTCATGCAGTGCTGCTTGAGCGCCGTCTTCTGCCTGGTTTTGGTGTGGCTGCTGCGAGTCTCCAAGAGGGAATAAACACAGAAAATTCTAAATGCTGCTCGGTCTCCTGCTCTGCCTAGAGGTGCAGTAGTTTTTGGAGGGTGACAGAGCAAGCCCGTGATCGTTCCAGGTAAATTCAGGAATAGGAAAGCTTCTACTTTCCTTACTGATGCTTTGTATAGAAATAAAGTACTTCAGGATTTTGCTTTTCCTGTAAATTTGTGATAGTTGCCCAACGTTGGAGTTGGTCCAAATGCGGATTAATCCAGGATGGGCAGGAGCTGTCCTGAAGCCCTGCATCCCCTTAAAGCACCGTGCTTTGCTTTTGAAATATGCGGCGAACATGCAAAATGAAGGCCAAATTTGTAAGTGCAGAGGAGCTTAGCATCTTACCGGTATTGCTGGGACAGAAGCAATATCCTCCTGGGGCTGAGCAGTTTAAGGTTTATGTATTTTAGTGGGTAAGCACGGGGAGCTGCGTTTCCAAACCCGCCTTACCGTGAGGGGGAAAACGGTGCCCACCAGCTGCTGCAGCGTGCCCTCACCCAAGATGGCCCGCTCGACGTCTTCACCGCCATGTCAAGGAAGGGCACCCGCCGGCTCTGTCCGCCTGCGTGATAGTGCGCCAGGTGCCCTTAGCCGGTATGGCGGCGGAGCCGCGCCTTAGGGAGGGCGAGGCGTGCTGAGGCCGCCATCTTGCTTGCGGGCACCCCGTACGGCTGAGCTGGCCTTCCCGGGCGCGCGTGGGGTGCCGGGAGCAGGTGGCGGCGGCGGCGGCGGGAGCGGCGCGGGCAGGTGGGCGCCAT